AAAATGTGGGGTGTCAGCCCAGGAGTGGGCAGCTCTACAGAGAAACAGATGAATGTGTATATAGGATTATAATATGTGCACAAAGTGACTTCCCCAGTAAGGCAAAATGAAGAATCATGAGATACATGGTGCTATCATTTGTGTGTTACCTGTCCCCCAAAGGCCCAGGTTTTAAAGGCTTGATACCCAGGATAGCATGACTGGAAGAGGTGGAATCTTTAAGAGGTGGGGCTTAATGGGAGATATTTAGGTTATTGGGGGCTTGTGCTGAAAGGGGATTGTGTGACCTTGCCTCTTTCCTCCTTTCCTTTTAAGTGCTGGTCATGAGGTAAGCTGTTTTGCTCCCATTGCCATTTATCTGTTTTCCCACCATTGCCATTTAGCACCCCTACCAGAGGCCCGAAAGCAGAGGGGCTAACCAGTCCTGGACTAGAACCTTCAACAGTGTGAGTCAAAATGTGTGTGTGTGTGTGTGTGTGTGTGTGTGTGTGTGTTTCATTTTAAGTTGATTATCTCAGGTATTTGCTATAGTAACAGAACACTGAAAGAAATGGGTTGGGAAAATGGGTTCACCATGGTTGAGGGCTTCAGTGTAATTTCTCCCCTCTCACTAGCCACCAAAATAAACATCAGCTAAATGAAAGGTTAATACATCAGGTCAGAAGGGAAATTAGAATAAAATACAAATGAATGCTTTTCAGTTTTCTTGATAAATGATGACAACAGTTTTTAATGCTCAAAATAATGAAAGGAAAAGAAAAGTTTGGTCAACTTGATTACACTGAAGGAAACCTCTAAGAATCAAAACTATAATAGCATCTAAAGAAAAATGGGATTGGAAGAGCATTTGCTACAAGTGTAAGTAAGCTAGTTTCCTACAGCATTTAAAAGTCTTCACAGGAAAATTAAGATACAATGAAAGTCCCATGGGCCAGCACATGAATGGGTCACCACAACAAGCCAACTTGATGTTCTGCATTGTAAACAAACCTCCCAGCAGTTACTAAGAGATTCTTTAACCCATCTTATTTTATTTTATTATTTTAAATTATTTTTGTAGTTGTACATAGACAGCATGCCTTTTATTTTTTTTACGCTGTGCTAACGATTGAACCCAGTGTTTTGTACATACTAGGCAAGCACTGACACTGAGCTACAGACCCAGCCCTAACCATTTTATTGAGGAACCAGTTGACTGTAAGTAAATGGCCCCAAGCTAGTGAATGGTATGAAGTTCACAGGCATATTTATTGGAAAGCTCTTGTGCTCTCAGGAACTAGTATAGCTAACCTAAGAGAACCTCCCAACCTCCAAGAAAAAGAAGACCCAGGGCTAATATGCTCATGAAAAACTGCTCAACCTTAACATTAAAGATCTGCATATTAAAACTGGAGGGTTGAAGGCACTGCTTACCTCTGGAATTGGCAAGAAAAAAATTTCCAGAAAAATAACCAGTCACAGTCCTGGCTTCCTCGGGTGTTATGAAACGGACACTTCACCTCTACTCTGGGCAGAAGGGTAAATTGGGTGAAGAAAAGTTTAACAGAATATTATCTAGAGTCTTTAAAAAAATTGCACATGACCATTGGCCTATTCATTCTACTTCTAAGGATCCTACACAAATAATCAGAAATGTGAGCAAAGTTTTATGCCCAAAGATATTTTTCTCTGATTATTGTTCATGTTATTTGCAAGTTTGAACTACGGGAGAGTGTCTACTGCAGTAGTTTCCAATATGAAAAAGGTGATGTTCATGAAGGTTTAAAACAACCTATATGTTAATTACAGGTGCGTAGGAGGGGCAACAAAACACAGAATAGTTTACTCAGTTTGATTTCCACAGTGACTATCTATGCACTAAAACGGTACAAAGACCACGAAACTGCCTTTATCCTACCATCACAGGATTTAGGCTAATTTCAGTTTTATATCTATTATGTATTTCTAAAACTTTTACATGGTTTGTTTTAAAATTCAGAGAAGAGAAAAAGGTTCATACCAATCTCAATTTTATATGTAGTCTGTTTTCCAAAAAATTTGGGTTTGTTTTAAAATTCAGATTAGAGGGAAAAAGAATTTTGCTTTGAGGGTAAAGAGCAAATTGGATAGGATGACAACATTTGCTATAGAATTTCAGAAATTAGATGGGCTGACCCCAATAGGATGCCACTGAATCTGGAGGGTTGGGAGTCTTATTAATCAGCCCTGAGAGCATACCTCCTTTCTCTTGTCTTCTGGATACCACTTCCCCCAAAGTATCCTTCCCTTCTTTCCTAATCAAAAACTTACTGTATTATTCAGATATCTGTTACTGTGACAAAATACCTGAAATAATCAACTTAAAGAGAGGAAAGGTTTGTTCTGGCCCAATGGTTTCAGAAGTTTTGGTCCATGATGGCTTGGCCTGTCTGGTGGAGGATACCTGCTTATCTCATGGTGGCTAGGAAGCAAAGAGAGGAAGAGGTTCTGGGGTACTTTTCATTTCAAAGGGCACTCCCCTGATGATATAACTTTCTCATACTAAGCCCCAGCTTTTTAAGGTGTCACTACCTCCAAGTAGTGCCATGGACTAGGGACCAAGTCTTCAACACATGAGCCTTTGGGGAATATTCCAGGTATAAATTATTGTACTTACCATCTAGATGCTCACCAGTAGGTTACTAGCTAAATAAATTACCTTAGAACATCCTCTCAGTGAGGTGTGATAGACCTACCAAGGAATTCTGTCACTAGAGATAATGTTTATTGAAATGGAAATTTTCAAAGATATGCATTAAAACACAATAATATAGAATATATTATTTTATATATATATGGAATATACATAAAAAGCACATGCCCCTCCCTCCACAGTTGCTTTTAAAATAGGATCATTTGTGACTTCTATGTGATTCAAATATAACATACATGTTCTCTGTAAATAATGCAAAAGTTCTTCACATGTGCACATGATTTTTTTTCTCTCCCCTGCCATTCCTTTTCCTTCCCATTTGTTCCTTTCCTTTGCTGAAAGAACATTTGTGAAACTGATTAGATAACTCCCTGGGTATGAGAATAGAGAGACATTTGCTTTGATTTTTTTCTTCATATTTTTCTTTAATGCATAGATATTTTCATAATTAGCGAGTATTCTATCTAAGTAACAAAAAGATATTTCTTTTGAAGGGGAAAAAATGAAAAAGACAGACAGAGGGAGGAAGGGTGGGAAGAGAGGCACCAGTGAAAATATCTGCAGTTTTGTAGAACTTTGTTTTGTTTTCTACAGATTTTCTGGAGGAGGGTGTGAATGTGACTTCGCTTTTCTTCGAAGTGTAGATATGAATGAGCTGGCTCTTGTGGAATCTCTTCCCTGGGCTTTCCCTCTTCTTCCCCCATTGTGAGCAGCCCCAAAGCACAGCATGGACCAGACATTAACTGTTCACTGGCAGATTGTTGTGCTTGTAGATGAGAAGTTAGCATTGAGTGCATTTTGTTCATGACAAGAAACACTCTGGGCACAGGAGCCTCTAACTGGGAGGCATTCAGGCAATGAAGTATTCATGCCCTGCTCCTCTGATACCTTGGTGAAACCCGTGTCCTGTTTTTAGTCTTTTGGGGCCTTTGGATGCGAACAATCAAGGAACATGTAGCCAGCTGCTCACATCCTGATGCTGAGGTGGCTTAGACCACTGGGGATGGTGGGTGTAAAGGCAGTCAACCTTCCTGTGCCTCCATGTCTTCCTCTGAGAAGTAGAACCCCACCTCGCACAGTACGCACACTGGGCACGTTGGCATTTGCCATCACTCTGCAGTGCACAAGCATGCCAGATATTCACATGCTTCAGTTGTGATGCTGGGAGGGATAGATAGGGATGAGGTTGCTGATGTCAGCTGGGAGCGAGCCTCGTTTTTGAAGGTTCCATTTAATATTTTTTTTTTAATTTTACAATGGTGAGAAAGCAATATGCATGCAGTAGAAACCCTACTTCAGATGTTGAATTGGGAACTTTTCCTGAGCCATTGCTATGAAATATGATGCTGTCTTGTGACGTTGGGCATATGCAGCAAGCTGTAGCTTCCAGTCAGCCCCGTGATGAGGAGGGAAACAGCCAATACTCTACAGTGGGGTGTGCCACTAAGAGTGATGTTTGGTAGGTCAGGTGAATTCAGTGCATTTTCCAGGTACAATATTTTCCATTTATGATGTGTATTGGGTGTAAGTCAAGGAGCATGTCTACTATATTTTGAATATATGTGCTATGTATTAGTAATCATTTTTAGTGAAGACTTTGTGCTTTGGGCACAATTCATATTCTTTCTAATTATAGAGGTAGTATACATGATTGTAAAAACTTCACAGGTTTCATTAATCTGTAAGAGGAAGTCAGCATTTCCCCACTGTAAGTTAGTCATTGTTGTTTTTTCCTAAGTATGTAAATGTTAAAAAGCACCCCCAACAGTTTATTGTGCCTTTCATTAGCAAATTGTGTTTCTATGAAGATGTTTTTCTAGAATTCGTGTGTTTGATATTGCTGTTTTAAATTTGCCAAAATTTTTTCCCCTCACTCTGATATCTGAAAAATGCCACTGAACTCCTTATCCATTGTGGAGAGAGCCATTTATAATACACTATCTGGACATTTCTGTTCCAGGTAGCAGAAGGCCAAGGCTCAATTACCAGTAATTGTTATAGAAAGTACATGTGCTCCATGGAATGTTAATTATTGGCATTCATCGCCAAGCTAAGCAGTTGATAATCATTCTTTTTGAATTGCTATTCAGGGGTGGGAGGGGGGGCTATTTCAGTAGTAACTATTCTTCTCACTCCATCACCAACAGGTTATACCTTTTCATGATTGACTTTGCTAATATAGTATATTCTAGACTATCATTTAAAATGAAAAGAAACTAAATAAGTCAAAAAGAATTAAGGAACTGAGCAGAATGGAAATGCCATGGAGGATGGTTATTGAAAAGTGTGAAATGCCTCATTTGACCCTGTTGTCCTTTTTTTTTTTTAGGAAAAAGCGGAGCAGGCACCTCCCAGTCCACGAGAGCTGGCACAATCTGAACGAGCGAACAATCCAAGTAAGTAATGAGCAAGAACTTAACTATAGCTTTGCAATAGTACTAGGATTTTATAGTCCTCCTTTGTGTTCGTGGGGTGGGGCAGGGGTGGGGGGCTCAGTTCCATGATCCTGCAGAGATAGCAGAACCCAAGAATACTCAAATCCCTTGTATAAGATGTCCTAATGTTTGCATAGAACCTATGCATTACCTTCTGCATACTTTTAATCATTGTTAGATTAGTTACTTAATACAATATAACTGCTAAATGAACAGTTGTTATACTGTATTGTTAGGGAATGATGATCAAGGAAAAAGTCTGTTTGTGTTGAGTACATGTGTCATGATTTTTCCCCCAAAATAATTTCAATTCATGATTGGTTGAATTCATGGATATACTGCAAAAATTATTCTTGACACAAATGAGTAAGATTCTAATCTTACTGTTTTTAAGGAAACAAATTCTAATATAGTCATCTATATTTCAATGAATATTGATTTCACTGAGCTAAACTTCAAAAATCTGTTTTATGCAAGTTTCTTGGTATTCCACTTAAGGCGATTTGATGTTACCTTTTGTGAGGGATTGTGCACAGGGGAACCCCTTTGTTTTAGCATTTTTGTATGTTTTTTAGCCTGGTTTTGCATCTATGTATTCTTGGTATTTCTTGACCCTTTTCGAGTTTCTTCTGTTCCTTCTCTTCTGGGTCATTATGAGGAAGTAAGGAATCACATTAAAGGAATACAAAGTTACTTCATAAATTAGAGAAACTGATAGAGGATGGGGAGTCTGCTCCCTACATGAAGCACAAACAATGTAATGGATTATTGTAGCATTTAAGTACAAGGAATCACAAGGTTTAGAGCTGGTAGGCATTAGAATAATCAGAGTTTTAAAAATTGCTTAATGAGAAAGAAGATGACTTTAGCCAAAAATCAAAGCTGAGATCTAACTAGGAAGTCAAATAAATGTGTTCCCAAGCATTAGAAGATTTATCATAAAATCAGTCAGGATTTTCTGTAACAAGTCTAATTTCAGGGTCACATTTCAGAAAACATTCATATGAGATGATGGAAGGGAAAGATATTGGTTTATGAGTACTGGTTTTGAAATTTTGAACAATTTTGACTCATTACATTGTATTGTCTAGAATGATCTCTTTCAAGCTGAAATAATCTGGATCTTGGTATCGATGTTCATTTAGAATTCTGTTAATGCTTTTATCAGAAAATTATAAGAAAAATTACACGGAGAGAATTTCCATAGTTTATCTCTCATCCTTTGTCTTTTTTTTTAATATTTATTTTTTAGTTTTTGGAGGACACAACATCTTTGTTTGTATGTGGTACAGAGGATCGAACCCGGGCTGCATGCTTGCCAGGCGAGCGTGCTACCGTTTGAGCCACATCTCCAGCCCATCATCCTTTGTCTTTACATCGTACTTTCAGATACTCTCTAGGTATCAGATATACCCAAGCAGTGTCCTGAAGGGGAATTTGCAGAACAGTACAGGGAATAGCCTTCCACTAGAAGAGAGCTAATTCTCCATTCTGGCTTAGAGTTAAGCAGCACACAGTTGAGTCTGGGTCTCTGATGCATTGCAGTTCCTGAAACAAGGCTTAAAAGAACAAAGGAGCATTTCTCCATATTGAACTCCACTTTTCAACCTCCCAGAGTTCTTACCTATAAGTGCACTCATGACATTGGCTTCAGTCCTTGTTCACAGGTAGCATACAGAAAAGGAAAAGTGAAGGACACAGCTTGGTTTAGAACAGGCTATTCCACAGAGGACTGAACAGTGCTGGCACCACCAAAAACAGCCACCAGTGCAGGCCACTCAGTCCTGGGGATGGAGGTCCCTTCCCTATGCCAGTGTTGGGGAGCAGAACCAGAGCCAAGCCCACTGTATCCAGCCAGGAGCTGGGGTAGGGCTTCCCTGCTGTCATAAGATGCTGGAAAAAGACTGTTGCCAGGGAGGACTAGAGCACATGTGAACTCGTGGCCAAGCAGCCAGGCACAGCCCTGCCACCAGAGCTAAAAGGAGCAGCGTCCTGGTGGGCACAGTGACTCAGGCTGCAACCTCCGCAGTCTTCCACCAGGCAGTGGCTGCAGACTGCCCCGGCCCTACCACTCCATAGGGAGGAGTAGGCAGAGAGAGTGGTGGAAAAGACAAACAAAACAATCCACCCCAAATGAGTCTCCAATCCAACATTCCAAAACACACGAAGCAATCCCATACTAGGAAATACAGCTAACAAAATCAACAGATGACCAATTTAGACCATGTGCAATAAAAATAAGTCTCACAAAGGCTTTGAAATAGGCATGTTTATATTACTCAGATGAATGAAAGACTAATGTCTGTAATACTGCAAGAAATCATGAACACAACCTGAAGAAACAAAGCAAGAATAGCTGGGTATGAAAAAGAATGGCTAGAAATTTTGAAAATGAAATATTTCAAACACTGAAATATTTTTATTGACGATTATTGATATTATTATATCATTTCCATTTTTTAAAGTGTTTTCTTCTCTCTAAAGGGGGTTCAAGAGTTGGAAGTTAGTCCTAAGAGAGTCAACTTGCGTAGATTACAGAGAGGTAAAGGAAGAGGGAGTGAGCAGTCAGGTACCAAAGATCCTACAGTATTTTGGGGAGGGAGAAGTAGAGAAGGAAACTCAGAGATAACAGAGATAAGAGCTGAGAATTGGCCAGAACTGAAGAAAGATACAACTCTCAAATTGCATTCAAAGAACTACCAAGGAAAAAGGAAGATTAGTTCATATCTAAAAGCATTTAGGGCTAGTCCAAAAAGTGGAAGAGAAGAAGTCTTGAAGGAAAACACAGATGTACTTACACAGGAATAACCTTGGGGTTGATGTTGACTTAGACACAATAAATGCCAGAGAAAATGTGATGTACTCTCAAAGTTCTGAGGCAAAAAATAACTGTCCATCTAGAATTTTATACCAACATATTGCTCCACAGTGAGAGCAAAGTACAGCTTTCTAAGGCAAAGATGGAGAAAATTGGTTTACCAGTAAAGACCAAAAGAGTAATTAAATTTACTTCAGGAAGAAGGAATGTGAAACATGGCATATAAGGAACAGTAATGTGCAGAGACATTGGTACAATGTTGAAAATGTAATCCCATATGAATTGTTAAGATAAGGTTAAGCTGAAACTCCATATAGATGTTGAGAGTGTGTATGTGTGTCTCTGCGGGATGCGGATTACTCGGTGGTTAAATCCTAAAACGGCTTCATATGGAGGAGTAAAATGTGAAATAACTGGACATCTTTTTAGGGAAAAAAATATATTTAATCATGTGTTTTAACATATTATGTGCAACTAAAATATTGACTGTTATCACTGAAAGAATACACATATAATTTATAGCTTTTAACCTAGCAGAAAAAAGTACAAGGGGATACATATTTTTAAAAAATCAAACAACATCAAGTAGAAAAAGAAGAAAAATTAAGATATGAAAGAGAGAAGATGTTAAACAGAAAATACAATGTACGATAGTAGGGCTAATCCCAGAAATATACACCACAGTATTGCCAGACTTCCATTGGTAGAGACACCTAGGACCCTGTACCCAACAGAGAGACAGTCTTGATTCTTCTTAAAACCTGTCTTAACTTTTTTGAGAAATTGACCATATATGGAAAGTTGCACTAAATTTTAAGCAATCCATTCAACACAAGCCACGTTCTTTGACCCAGTGTGATTAATCAGACATCAACACAAAAAGTTCAAGACAAAACATGTAAACATGTTTGTGGAAACTTTAAAAGAGACCCATATTTTACTCATGGGTTAAAGAGAAACTCACAATGGAAATGTCAGTCATTTAAAACCTAATGGAAATGAACATAGTACAAGTGGAAAGTTGTATAGTGCTACTCAAGTAGGACTAAATTCCTAAGCTTCAAAAGGAAGAAAAATTGAAATTAGAAAAACGCAAATTGAATAAGTCTAAGAAATGCAGAAGGAAGTAATTATAAAAATTAAAGTGAGAAATTATTGAAATAAAGTGTCAATAAACAAGAACAAAATGAAAGCCAGTCTTTGTTAAAAACAAAACAAAACAAACAAACAAAAAACATCCTAACAGGAAACCTCTAGCACAGATGTGTAGAAGGACAAAGGCATGAAAGAAGATAGACAAATTTATTGCAAAAATATAAAAGTAAAATTGATTCTTTTTGAAATCATTTTTTTTTTTGGTGGTCTTGGGGATTGAACTAGTGTCAGGGCCTCATGCATGCTAGACTTGTGCTCTACTATTGAACTACATTTCCAGCCTCCAGATACAGAAATATTAAATAACTCTGGCAATAATCATTACTGCCCCTTCAAAAATACCGAAGTAGTTCTGTAGATTAATGTTAGCAAACTTTCCAGGAACAAATAATGTCTTTCTTTATACAAATGTTTTCAGAGGTAGACAGAGGACCAAGAACTTTCCCCTATTTATGATACGTTCAGGTAGCTTTGAGACAATACTAGAAATCAAAATCCCATTTCACATGTTTACAAAATGAAACAAAAGTCCAAGTAAAACATAAATGAATCAGATTCAGCAATTTCTCTTAAATGAAATGTAAAACAATTAATATGACCAAGTTGGGGTTATTATAGTAATGCAAGGATGGTTTACCATTGTAGGCAGTAACACATTTAATATAAAGGAAAAAACAAGTGGTCATCTCACTAGACATGAAAAGAGAATTTTCTGCTTATTGTAACACAGAACAAACAACAACAAATCTCTTAAGAGACCAGGACTGAAAAGGAAACTTTTAACCTTTTAAAATTGATTTGTTGAGGCTGGGGTTGTGGCTCAGTGGTAGCTAGTGCCTAGCACATGTGAGGCCCCGGGTTCAATCCTCAGCACCACATAAAGATAAATAAATAAAATTAAGGTATTATATCCGTATACAACTACAAAAATATTTTTTTAAAAAAATTGATTTGTCCAGAACCTACAGCTTGCATCATCCATAATGGA